AACCACAACACAAAAGACTCGTTCTAGAACCATCTCTGTCGACTTCGTTAAAAACTTGTTCCCCTGATTCGACTGACACGTAGACAACTCGGGTTCTTGAATCAACACATTCATCAAATAAAACTTCATCCAAGTTAAAAACAAGCTCAAATCTGCATCCATCCAATTTTCTTTTCAATTCCGAGTAAGACTGCAGGATGGCAGTTTGTGATACCTCTGCTCGTTTTGTTTCCATAACTTGGGCCTTTTTTGTTTCAATTCCTGGGATTAATTTAAGGACTTTATTTAATTGCCTTGTTCCCATTGTTTTGCCGAAATTTTCAAACATGAAAAGTCCAATTTCTTCTGGTTTTACCTTTTTGGTTTCTTTCATTTCTTCTGCTATTTTTAGAACTTCTTCGTCTGAAAGAAGTCGTTTTCTTCCCTTTTCTGAAATTTTTCCATTTTTGTCTTCTTTTCGTATTTTTTGAATTTGGGAATTTACACCCGATTCCTTAAAAGTCCCGAAAAAATACTCAAGTGCTACTCTAATTGATTTTTTTAGTTCCTTTAAACTCATTAATTGGCACATTAGAAAGATCGTTTAATGAAAACCGCACTTGCTCTCTAAAAGTGGGAAAAGATTCTTTTTTTATTTTTATCTCAAGGTCTTGGAAAGCTTTGAAAATAATAGGGCAATTAATTGGGTATTGTTCAGCCCTTTGACTAACAGGAGTTTTCGGACCAATCATTTTCAAACTTTCATGTTTTTCGGAACCTTTTTTATATTCTTTCTTTAATTGAGGGGGCTTGGAAGAAGGTTGGGACATTGTTTAAAAAGGTTTATAAAAGAGTTTATTAAATAGGCTATTGATATTGTTTTTTATATTATTGTTAAATTTTATTGATTAATTATTATTTTTATTTCGAAATTTAACAAGAGTTTTTTTTAATCTAAAAATTTTATAGTTACTTTTTTGTTGCGATAAAAGACTTTTTTAATTTTTATTGTTAGTAAAGTTAAAGAATTGTTTTTATAATTTACTTGTATATAATCAAATGAAAAATAACTTCGTTATTAATTAATAAATTTGTTGTTTGTTAATACTATTTTAAATTAATTTAAATAAGTGATGTTGCGATAAATAAATTTAGATTTATAAATTATTATATTTAAAAACTATTAATTATTATAATTTAGCCATTTATGTAACTAAAATCGTATTTTTGAAAAACTGGTTAAAAATAGTTTATTTACTATTATAAAATAGTTAAAAACGATGACTTATATTTTTCTTATTGTCAACCTTAATTGCATGACACCCATAGAATGATCATGAATTGATTTATTTGACACGAAGTATCGAAGCCGTGGTTATCGTTGTGGATCTCTTTAGAAATATACAAGTGTTGAGTAGTTTTCATTACTTTTCAGACTCACCATTTGATCAAATTTTGAAACAAGTTATAGTATAAATTATAATAAAATAATTAATGTTTTTAGTTATTTTGTTCTTCTTTATAAAAGTATGTGCGAAAATCCCAAAATGTTACATATATTTACTGTAATAAAATGAACAAGATAGTCCATCAAATAGTAAGTAAGTTGTTGATTATCATTTCTTTATAATTAGTGGATACAGGTATAAAAACACATTTAAAATAAACAACACATCAACTTTCACTTTGGCACTAGGTCTTCTCAATAACGTATTTGGCTGATAACAGTCATTGTCTCCATGATGTTTTCAACAATTTTTATTGAAATGCACTTTTGGGCAAGCATTTTTGCTGGCGGGAAAAACCGCTTCACTACCATTTACTTGTTTTATTGTATAGAAAAATAACGTTTTTGGCATTTTGCCGAGTTTTAAAATAAAAAATAATACGGTGGCGAAAAACCGCTTTAGATCTGTTTTTGTCTTTTCGTAACCAAATTCTTATTGTTTTATGATAAAAACTTATCCAATAACCAAATACTGCCTTTTAAATTGTGAAAAAATAGTGTGTTTTTTCTCAGCATACAAATATTTTTTAACCAAATGTATTGAATAACACACAAAAACACACAATAAACTTAATTTTATTCACCATACAGAAATTATTGCCGCACTTTCGGATCACCAACAGTATCTTCCCAGTCTTTTTTAACATTTCTCTGCACGGCGGGAAAACCCGCTTTACTACCATTTAATGATAAAATTACACATAATTATAACCAAAGTTTCAATTTGCCTCAAATAATTGAGGTTTTTGTAAAAAAAAGCTAAATAACACGAGAAATTCTAACGGACATATGCAGCGCCCTTTTACCGCTTCTAATAATTTACACAAAATTATCCGTCTTACATTGTTTTTATTGACCAATATTAAAAAATTGCTTCGTTTATTTTATAAAAAGTTTCAAAAAAGCAAGTACAACGAAATAACGAGTCATTTATCGCTTGCTTGACAGGCACTTGAAAAACTGCTGGGAATGGATGCACTCACGTTCAGTTGGTGAGTATGTCCAAAGTGCGTTTTTCAGTTTGGCAGTGAAATGCATTTATGAGCGAATGAGGAATCCAACAAGAGGGGGTGTGAATAAAGGTGCAGTCGGTCTTTGCTGAGAGACGTTGAAAAGTGGTGTATTAAAAACATGTGCTAGGTTATACATTTACTATGTTGTTCGAGAGGTA